AATGAGGGATGGTTAAAAGAGCTAAATTTCTCATTTTGTTTTGTATCAAGGAGGTTAGTGAAAGTTATGTTAAGAAAAAGAGGTGTGAATTTTTTTGTTTTTAAAAGATGGCTTTCGCCCATCTTAGCTGCCCAAAGTGCTGGGGATTACAGGTGTTAGCCACTGCGGCCAGCTCTCGCTTTCAACCATTTTTTCAAGTTTTTAAAACTCTTGACGTATAAAAATATTTTAGCCGGTGCGTTGGTTCATGCCTGAACTTTGGAGGCCAAGGTGAGTGGATCACCTGAGTCAGGAGTTCAAGGACCAAGCGCCTGGCCAACAATGGTGAAACCCTATCTCTACTAAAAATGCACAAAATTAGCCAGCCATGGTAGCATGTGCTTGTAATCCCAACGACTTGGGAGCTGAGGCCAGAGACACTTGAATCCAGGAGGCAGAGGCTGCAGTGGAGCAAGATTACGCCACTGCACCCAACTTGGGTGACAGAGTAAGACTCTGCTCCCAAAAAAACAAGAATGAGACTGTTAAAATTAAAGGGGTACAGGTCAAAGGGTACAGGATTAGATTGTATGAAGAAAGAGGGGTAAAATGTAATTTTAAAAAATTAGTCACTATAAAAACAGAGTTATCTATAATAGAAAATAACTGCTTATCCTGAAAACAAACCAAGAGACTTAGGAGAGCTACTATGAAGGAAAATATCCCACTCCTGGAGCAGAGAAACTAATAGAGACATTGGAGAATCTCATTCCCCAGGGATTTTTCAGAGGACAGCAAATATCTATGTTTTGATTTCTTTACTAGGTAGAATGCTATCAAGAGGTGGAGCTATGATCTTTGAAAACTCCATATAATTTCATTTATAAACTCATGTACTCTATTTCAATAAAGAGCAGACTACAATTCTTGAAACTAACAGAATCCTCTCTTGAGGTCTGCTCTGTAGCATATTAGTTAAAAGGAAAAACCTTTTGCCTTTTATCATTTACATATCTTCTACATTTCTTAAGGCCTAACTTGAAAAAGGGAGGTACAATACATTCAAGTTACGCTTACAAACATAAAATCATAACCTCTGGTTCCATTGATTCTTACAGGGTTAACAGGCATTTGCCTTCTTACTACTATTTCTCTTCTTCTAATGTATTATTTATTTAATAATTTGTAAAACACTGCTATCGCATCTAAGTGCTAAAATACAAAGTTAAAAACATATAAATTATTTAAATCCACCAATAAAAAAATTTAAAAAGAGAAAAATATGTTGATAATTTAATGCAAAGCTACTAGAAGAGGATCTAATGAGTGAACAAGACTTTAAAACCAAAAAAGTCCCCATTTAACTAAATACAAAATGAATATGACATGTACCTGATCAATAGTTAGTCAATTGGCTCTTGCTAAAAACCCACACTGGGCCGGGCGCGGTGGCTCATGCCTGTAATCCCAGCACTACGGGAGGCCAAGGTGGACGGATCACCTGAGGTCAGGAGTTCAAGACTGGCCTGGCCAATGTGGTGAAACCCCGTCTCTACTAAAATACAAAAATTAACCTGGCACAGTGGCACACACCTGTAATCCCAGCTACTCGGGAGGCTGAGGCAGGAGAATCACCTGAACCTGGGAGGCAGAAGTTCCAGTGAGCTGAGATCACACCATTGCACTCCAGTCTGAGTGACAGAGTGAGACTCCGTCTCAAAAAACAACAACAACAACAACAACAACAAAACACCCACATTGTATGGCACCTTTGTGTTAGTCCGTTTTCACACTACTATATAGAAATATCTGAGACTGAGTAACTTATAAGCAAACAGCTTTAACTGACTCACATTTTCACATGGCTGGAGAGGCGTCAGGAAACTTACAATCATGGCAGAAGGTGAAGGGGAGGCAAGCACCTTTTCCACAAGGCAGCAGGAGAGAGAAGAGTGAAGAACTTCCAAACACTTCTAACACCATCAGATCTCATGAGAACTCACTCACTATCATGGGGACAGCATGGGGGAAATTGCCCCCATGATCCAGTCACCTCCCTTAACACATGGGGATCACAGGTCCCTCCCTCGACACGTGGGGATTATAATTCGAGATGAGATTTGGGTGGGGACACAGAGCCAAACCATGTCAACCTTTAACAGAGCGACATAAAAGAGAAGAGGAATCTAGTTTACGACAATAAGTGACAAAAGAGATCCGTGGTGGGTAAGACACGTACAAGATGACAAGCTTTGAGGAAGTACAAGGTCTGGTCTGGGAGCTGTGGACCCAATTAGCAAAGACTCTGGGAAGACAAATGCATAGCTGTTCATGGGCCGTGGAGGCCCTTCTATTTTATAAAAAGGGTTCCAGGAGCTTGGGATAAATTAACCACTTTGTTTCCCCCTTTTCATCATCTAGCTTCGTACAGTCTTCTTTAGCAGTGTTTTGAGTCCTAAGAGGCAATGTGGTATAGTGGCAAGAACCTGGATTTAAAACTTAGCTCTGCTTCTGGAAGAAGAGGCTGAGATGGTAACAAGATCTGTGCTCCACTGGGAAGTGGCTACCCAACCAGGAACTGACTACATTTCCCAGCCATATCAGCATCTAGTATGGCAATGTGACTAGTTTATCTCAGTGGCATGTTAGTGGAAGTCACGTATGCTACCCGTAAAGCACGGCTTTTCAGAACTAGGTGTACCCTCTCTATTCTTTCTCCTGCCAGCTAAATGTGGCTGATGCTGAGGAGGAACTAGATGGCAGAACCACAAGAAAGAAGCTGCCTGGGTTCCTCAGTCACTTCTGGGAAAATCACTTAACTATGAACACACACACGGGCTGTCCCATGACAGAAATAAACTATTGTGTTAAGCCACCGAAATACTAAGGCTTATTTGTTACAGTAGCAAGAGTTAACCTAACCAACATATATATATGCTGATAATTACTAAAAATAATAATGGTGATGGTGTCAGACACTGCATTAAATAAGTCATCATTAATACTGTTAAGAAATCTTGGCCCAGCCTAGGCAACATGGTAAGGTGCTGTCTCCACAAAAAAAAAAAAAAAAAAATTAGCTGGGCACAGTGGCACGCAGCTATAGTCCCAGCTGCCTGGGAGACTGAGGTAGGAAGATCACTTGAGCCCAGGAGTTTGAGGGTACAGTGAGCCTTGATCGTACCACTGCACTCCAGTCTGGGCAACAGAGTGAGACCCTGCTCCCACCCCAAGTAAGCACATGAAAAGATGCTCAACATCATTAGCCATGAGGGACATGCACATGAAAAACATAATGATATGCTACTTCATCCCCACTAGGATGGCTATGGTCAAAAAGATGGGCAATAGCAAGTACTTGTGAGAATGTGGAAAAATTAGAACCCTCAAACATTGATGGTGGGAAGGTAAAATGGTGCAGCTGCTGTGAAAAATTTTGGCAGTTCCTCAAAAAGTTAAACGCAGTTATCCCATGACCCAGCAATTCTACTCTCAGATATAGACCCAAAGGAATCGAAAATATATGTTCACATAAAAACTTGTACAGGAATGTTCATAGCAGCATTATTCATAATAGCCAAGAAGTGGAAACCATTCAAATGTTTATCAGCTGAAGAATGGATAAACAAATGTGGTATATGCATACAATGGAATACTATTCAGCCATAAAAAATGAAATTCGGATATATGCTACAACACAGATGAACCTTGAAAACATTATGCTAAGTGAAAGAAGCAAGGAACAAAAGGTCACATACTATACAATTCCATTTATATGAAATGTCCAGAGTATGCAAATCCATAAAGAAAAGACAGAAAGTAGATTATTGGATGCTGGGGCTGGGAGAGTTGGAGGGAAATGGGGAGTGACTGCTAATGGAGAAAATGTTTCTTTTTGGGGTGATGAAAATGTTCTGGAATATTAGATAGCAGTGGTGGTTGCACAACACTGTGAATATACTAAAAACCACTCAATTGTACACTTTAAAAGGGTAAATTTTATGGTATGTGAATTATATCTCGATTTAAAAAAGAAAAGAAAAAGAGAAATGCATTTGCTCCACCTTGCCTCTTAGAGATTCTGGCTCGACACAAAGAGGCACTGAGCTCTTTTCATGTACCATGATTCTAGGCTGCTCAGAACCCGCAGACTTCTTCCTATCTTCTGCTGCAAGCAGACAAGTCCAAATAGCCCCAGTGCCATATGCATTAAATGCCTCTGTCTGCATGTGGAGAAATAAGGTACAAGGCTTTCCTTACTTTGAGTAACAGCATAGTTAACAATGAGATGAGATAAATAAACAGTGACGCTAGCCCTGAGAATGCTATGAGTGTGGGGAATAGGATAGAGCTCCATAATAACTACTAAAGTATATATTGCTTCAGCAAAGTTCTCTAAGGAAGAAAACAATCCTAAAAAATGTTCTCACTCATAGGTGGGAGTTGAACAGTGAGAACACTTGGACACAGGGAAGGGAACATCACATACTGGGGCCTGTTGGGGGGTGGGAGGCTGCGGGAGGGATAGCATTAGGAGAAATACCTAATGTAAATGACAAGTTGATGGGTGCAGCAAACCAACATGGCACATGTATATGTATGTATCAAACCTGCACGTTGTGCACATGTACCCCAGAACTTGAAGTATTAAAAAAAAAAAGTGTGGTGTGTGGTGGGTGCTGTGGCAGGGTGGAGCGGAGGGGTTCTGAGAGAGGATTGCATAAGGAAAGTATCCTTTTTTCCCCTATTTAGGCACACATGCCATTTTCAAAAGTGTGAGTCAAATTCACACCACAGAATAGAGAACATCAAGTAAATTTCATGTAAGTATTTGGTGACATCAAGTAAATTTCATATAAGTATTTAATAGTCAAAACTGAAGAGAAGATCACTGGAGTGTGTTTTCAATCTCCAAGTAAGAATGTAATTTGGTGATTCTATGACACTTCTTTGGAGCCTCCCAATCCACTGGGAACACTGCCTTTTCAATAGGAATACATTCCTGAAAAGACACAACTTACTTGCAGGAGACTTTAGTTCTGTCAGCAACCATGGTCCACTGTTGCTGGTTGGTAGAAACCTCAACGTAGTAGCTATAGCTTCGATCATCACAATCCCACAGTAGTAACCTGAACAAAGGGAAAAATGTAAGATTGCTGTAAACATTTTAACTGGTTGTTTCCTTAGGCTGCGGGCATATCCCTCCCACCCACCTCCTTTGTCCAGCACATTTCTAAGACTGGACAAAGTGAATCCCAAAAAAGCATGAAGAGAACAGGCCGAGTCAGTCTGCAGTGAGAGGCTTTTAATCTTTAGTTTTTTTTCACAAGTCCCCCAATCCCAGGCAGCCTCTGCCCCACTGGTGGCAAAGTTCTTTAGACTGGTTTAGGAGAGAGATGTCCCCAGATCACCCTTCCAGTTTCCTCTAGCTCTCCTCTCCAGTTGGTTCGGCTGACCACTGCTCATGGGAGAATCTGTGACTTCAAATAGATTTTTATTTTTCATTTCTATTTTTAGAGACAAGGTGTTTCTCTGTCACCCTGGCTGGAGTGCAGTGGTGTGATCAGCGGAGTAATCAGTGGTGTAAACAGTGGAGGCTCACTGTAGCCTCCAACTCCTAGGCTCAAGTGATCCTCCCACCTCAATCTCCTGAGTGGCTGGGACTATAGGTGCACACTATATTTTTTTGTAGAGGCACAGTCTCACTATGTTGTCCAGGCAGGTCCTGAACTCCTGGTCTCAAGTGATCCTCCTACCTTTGCCTCCCAAAGTGCTGAGATTATAGGTATGAGCCACTGTGCCCAGCCTAATTGATATTTTTATTTTTATTTTTAGAGCACATTTTCACTCTGCTGCCCAGACTGGACTGCAGTGGTGTGATCATAGCTCCTTGCAGCCTCCAACTCCTGGGCTCAAGTGATCCTTCTACCTCAGCCTCCCAAGTAGTTACAAGCATGCACCACCATGCCTGGCTATTTTTAAATTTTATGTAGAGTCAGGGTCTCACTATGTTGCCCAGGCTGGTCTCAAACTTCTAGCCTCAAGTGATCCTCCCACCTCAGCCTCCCAAAGTGCCAGGATTACAGGTGTGAGCCGCTGTGCTGGTCTAATTGATATTTCTTATAGTATTTTCTAATTGGTTATAACCCCATCACCTTTATTATCATGTTTTAGCTTCCTTCTTATTCTCACCAGGATTTTTACATAGCTGTAGTAGGATTATCTGATTTGGAGATATAGGCAAACACACATTCATTTGCAAAACTTTCATTATTTAGAAATTGATTACCTTGGTCCTGTTCTTAACCCTCTTTTCTGCCCAGATAAGAACTTAAGCATTAACTGTGTAATTCCATTTACATGAAGCTCAAAGCAGACAATTTATCTGTTGGTGACAGGAATCAGAATAGTGGTTAGCTCTGGGGGAGGTATCGACTAGGAAAGGGTAAAAGGGAATTTTCTAGAATCCTGGAAAAGTACTAATTTTGATCTAAGTGGTAGTTATGCATGTAAATAATCACTGAGCTATACATAAAAGATCTGTTCACTCTGTGTGTCTTACTCCTCCATTTTACATATATATATATATATATATTTTTTTTTTTTTTTTGATACGGAGTCTCACTCTGTCTCTCGGGCTGGAGTGCAATGGCGTAATCTCAGCTCACTGCAACCTCTGCCTCCCGGGTTCAAGTGATTATCCTGCCTCAGCCTCCCGAGTAGCTGCAATTACAGGTGCCCACCACCATGCCCAGCTAATTTTTGTATTTTTAGTAGAGATGGGGTATCACCAGGTTGGCCAGGCTGGTCTCAAACTCCTGACCTCAAGTGATCCACCTGCCTCAGCCTCCCAGTGTTGGGATTACAGGCGTGAGCCACTGTGCCTGGCCTAAAAAATAATTTTAGAAAAGAATCTGAGCATTGCAGTACAGGATTAGTATTTTGCTTCTGACAGTGCCACAGGGGAGACAGATATTGTTTTCTATTATTTCAGCCTTAAAAGTCCTTCTCATACAAACTATATATTTTACTGCTTTATAGTTGGTCATATGTGTTTGCTTCCTCTACCAGCTGGCATAGATAGTAAGCTCCTTGAAGGCAGTGTCTATGTCTTACTGATTTTTTCCATACCATTGACAGAATGTCTCACATGGAGCTTAAACTCAGTCAGTGGTTGCTGAGCAAATAACATTCTTGTTAACAACAACAATAATGGCTGGGCGTGGTGGCTCACGCCTGTAATCCTATCACTTTGGGAGGCCAAGGCAGGTGGGTCACGAGATCTGGAGATCAAGACCATCCTGGCTAACATAGTGAAACACCATCTCTACTAAAAATACAAAAAATTATCCGGGCATGGTGGGGGGCGCCTGTAATTCCAGCTACTTGGGAGGCTGAGGCAGGAGAATCGCTTGAATCTGGGAGGCAGAGCTTGCAGGGAGCTGAGATCATACCACTGCACTCCAGCCTGGTCAACAGAGCGAGACTCTGTCTCAAAAAAAAAAAAAAAAAAAATCAATAATAATGATCATGATGGCTAATATTTCTTTAATGTTAACTGTGTATCAGTCCCTATGTTAAGCGCTCTATACAATTTGTCTTATTAAAATCCTTCTAAATATCCTCTTAGCAAGCATTATTATTATTATGAAATTACAGACATTGAAAGTGTTAAGGATTAAAGCATGTTAAGTAACCTGTCTAAACTCATACAGTAACTAAATGATGGAAATGATACAAGGTTCTCACCTGGTACCTTCACCAAAAGCCCATTTCCGTAATCCCACTGTCAAATGTTTCCATTACTCTAGTTTATATATCTGGTTCCCAATTTACAACCTCTAACCTATCAGTGGTTTGTATTATTTTCCCTTAATCTTATGATTATAATCAGTGAAAATCCTTTGCACAAGTTCACTTTAGTGTCATATATAAAGCTACTACTGAGGACTAGGATTGCCTGTATTTTCTGTTTTCCTTTACCCTTACCTTTTTTTTTTGTTGTTGGAGGAGGTTGAGGGGACAGCTTCTCTCTCTGTTGCCCAGGCTGGAGTGCAATGGTGCAATCATAGCTCACTGCAGCCTCAAACTCCTGGCTAAAGCAATCCTCCTGCCTCAGTCTCCCAAGTAGCTGGGATTACAGGCACACACTACCACACCCAGCTAATTAAAAAACAAACAAACAAAAAGATTATTTTGTAGAGATAGGGTCTCACTGTGTTGGCCAGGTGGGGTCAAACTCCTGGCCTCAAGCTACCCTCTTGCCTGGCCTCCTAAAGGGCTCGCCTTCCCTTTCATTCCTTATTTTCTATTGTAACTCTGTTTGCTATCAATTATTAAACCAATACTACCTAATATTTTTGAACTCCTCTTTTAAGTAGAGAAAACTGTTAAATGAGTTTGGAAAGCATTAGCAGATGATACCTACTGATTCTCTTTAATACGCCTGAGTGTTTAATCTCTCAAAGTACCCTGAATGAATCAGAAAGGATTCCACTCTGTTGTTTTTAAGTGTCCCAAAATCCTACTCTTATATTACACTAATTTGCTTATAAGAATATGAATCATTTCCTTCATTAGTCATTTCCTCAAATATTATCCTAGTCTCTAAGCACTTTTATGCAGTTAGCCTATGCTAATTTATATTTATTTTGAGTAACTTTTAAAAGTGTATTTTTTGCTTCTATGTTTGTCTGGCTCTCATTTTGATTATAAGAACTTTAGAAAGATGTTTATCTTTCTCTTTTTAAAAACTCTGCTTCAAACATGTGGGCTCTGTTCATGGCATATGTTCCATGTATGTTCTGGATTGAAATCATTCATAACTCTGACACAGTAGAGTAAAACTAGGGGAAAACTTAAAATCAATTAATAATTCTCTTCATTTAACAGTTCTGGCAACAGAACTGTTGTTGGAAGATAATGTTGAGGTTACTTTCCCCAATGGAATTTTAAATTATTTATGGAGAGCCAGGTTTATCATATTCCCTATCCTTCTAGATAATCATAAGCTAGTGTTTCTACAGAGGATTAAAATGAAAACAGTAAGTCCCTTTTGGGATAGAACCTAACCAGATCTCAAAATATTTCATGGAAAATGACTGCCTTGAGGATATGGGATATGGAGAAGATAAAAAAATGGAGGATAAATTATGAGTATCATGTATGTTCTAGTAGATATTCTTGAAGTGATAATATATTTGAGGAAAATTTTAAGGTGTATATATCATGCTCTGTAAGTAGCTTATTCTATAAAAGTCCTCCAATTTGTTTCAAGGCAAATTATTATTTTAAAATGAAGGTAATCTGAAATTCTAGTAACTTTTAAAACATACACACACAGTACATATGGTTTGTAACTGGCTACTTTTGCTTAATGGTCTATTACGAATATCTTTTTGTATCATCAAATATTCTTCTACATCATATGTACTGAATAGTATTTCACTGTATGGATGTCTCATACTTTATTTAATCAATCTATTATTATTAGACATTTAAGCAGTTAATATTTCACTGTTATGAAAATTCTTTTCTTTTTCCTTTGGAAACAGGGTTTTGCTCTGTTGCCCAGGCTGGAGAATGAAGTGGCACAGTCATAGCTCACTGCAGCCTCGATTTCCTGGACTCAAGCAATCCTCCTGCCTCAGCTTCCTGAGTAGCTAGGACTACAGCTGCATACCACCATGCCCCGCTGATATTTTTTAAAAAATTTTTTTGTTGCCCAGGCTAGTCTCCAACTCCTGGCCTTAAGTAATCCCTCCACCTCAGCTTCCCAAAGTGTTGGGATTAAAAGCATGAACCACTGAGTCCAGCCTATTATGAAAATTTTGCAATAGACATTCTTAAGCTAAATCTATGATTATTGTCTTTGAATGATTCTGTAAGTGGAACTCCCGGAGCAGGGCATATAACATCTCGAGGCTTTGATATATATCATAAAATAGCTGTATACTTCTATTCCCCCCAACCCCAAGCAAAAATCTATACCAATTTATATTAACGCTACCAGCATTGCCTAACAAATGCCTGTTTCTGTGCATCATCACCAATATTATGTATTATGTTTAAAAATACTGCTAATTTGATAGCTGAAATATCTCATTAATCTGCAATTTTTAACTTATTG